CCAATCTAGGTGTGGTGACTTAAAGAAATGCAGGAGTACCTACCATGCTCGTCTGGTTTCCAATTCCATTTTGGCTTTCACAGTTCATGGTTTGTAGGGTGCCTAGTGCTTGAATTTGAGTTTTAGTTGATAAGGTGTGGTGAAATTTATGTCCTACATTCAGGAGAAAAAGTGGAAAGGAAAAAATTCTGCATTTCTTGTAGAGATTAGAAGAATTATGAAATAATCTTACTGAAAATATATGAAAAATCAATAGAAAAAGATACCTTTTAATCATTAAATGGATCTTCATGGAAATATCAGAATTGGAGTTTTTGAGAGGTTTGGAGTTTATTGTCTCAAATCCGCATGGGGCATTTGTAAGAAGGAAAACCTTGGATGGAGGTCTGGTAATGAAATGTTTACATCAGTATGAAGGAAAATGAAATGACTTGCATATAAAAGAGGATAATGGGAACATATCACTGTAATTCAAACTAGATATGGAAACCGTACGTGCAGTATGATGTCATAGAGGAATTTCGTGAGAGGTGAAGGGGGCGGAAGGTTTCTTGTGCCTTATCTACTTCCTCATCATGGTAATAGCTTGCAGTGGTTATGGAATTCAAGGTGCAAGCTTTGCCTAAAAATTACCTTAGTTTATCCTGTGTTTTTAAACAAAGAGATTATGTTCCACTGTTATCAGGATATTTAAGAGGTGGCTGGTCCCATGGAACATGTTCTTGTTCTTTTCGGGTGGGATGACACTTTTAAAGGCCATTCCAACCATGGAGGTTAAATTTTTCGTTGCTTATGGAGATCCTAATGACATTTGTACAGAACATTGAGTGAATTCAATGTTAGTTTCTTTGGCATGTGAATATTGGATCTTTGACAAGTATCATTTGATCAGGCGTGTTGAAGTTTGTGAGCCTAAAAGGTATACTAATTTTTAGACCTATATGAACCAAAATGAATGCTGACCTCTTGGCAAATGGCATCAGATGTTTGCATTGATAAAGAGTGTCTTTGTAGGGATATATTCTTGCATTAGGTTTGGTAGGGTTATATTAGCCAGGTGAAATTAGATCTGTTAGATACTTTGGTTTTTATAGTGGCATTTATGCATTATGTCCAACTATAAGGTTAGTAATTTTGGGAGTCGTGTACTTGGATTTTTAGAATGATACATGAAGTGAAATACGACTCGTATGACATCCATGACTGTGGAGATTACCTGGTTGACATTCCTTTTATAGAAACTTGGTTTTAGTTTGTCCCAGACAGTGGCATTGTGACGTGAGAAACTTAGTGCTGCATATATTGCTACTTATGCCCTATCAGGTGCTTGAGATAGAAAATCAGTCCATCCAGGGGAAGTCACTGCAGGTGCTGCACATCACTGTTCATGTTAATTGTCTGGATTAACCTGCTGATTATTTCATCTGAGCTCCTTTTTTTTTTTTTTTTTCTAATTTTTAATTTATTTGTTTTTAGTCATCTCACCAAGGCACTGAAGTACTTTTATACATCATTTTTAGTGGCTTGACACTTTGCTATTCATCATGCTTTATTACCTGTCGTGAGAGAGTTGTTAAGAGACAAGCCACATTATTTTTATTGACTAGAGGTATACTTTATTATAGTGATGGTGAGTACACTGATGATGCATTTATTCTTTATGCTGATGGTTATTTTGATTCGTGTCTGTGTAAGTGAGCGAGCGTGTGTGCGTGTGAGCTTGCATGCACACACCCCATATATGGAGGCATCAAAACACACACACACACACACATACACGTGTGTTTCCTGGCAACCTGGGTTCTGCCTTGTTGGACCCACAGTGTTGAAGGGGACCCAAGCAGGACATCAGCACACTTCCTCTTGAAGTTTAATGTACCCATCCCTCAAACTCCCATTGAAGTTTAATGTACCCATCCCTTAGGTGGCAAGTTCACCATTTTAGATATGCCATATTTGTTGGAGGCGGGAGGGGGAACCAAGGATTGTTGCTTGCTAGGAGTTCTGTAGGTTGGCAGTTACCACACAATTAATACAAAAAACGGAAAAATTTACAAAGTCAAATATTAATCAAATAATATTTAGATGCAAAAGTAATATATTAAGTATATATTTGTTAACGGTGTGGTTTCTATAAGGTTGCAAACTTAAACAATCCAATTAAGGCGCAACTCCAAATTTTATCATAACATGTAATTTTGGTGTAAAAAATTCTTAAGATTATCTTAAAATATATTTTCATATCTAATTATTTAAAAATTTTAAACTCCAAAAATAATTAAAATCAAGTAGATCTATAAACATATGAAAATCTTGAAAATGGATGCTCTAGATAGTGTTGCAAGATGCACTATTTTTGCGACTCAAAATCTTTTTTTTATTTTTTTTCATATTCATATATCTCATTGTTGGGATGATCAATTAGATGGTGTTTCAACATTAATTTAAAACAACCTTTTCTTATGGATTTTTGAGGTGCATCTTTAATTTTAGGAAATTATCTCTAATATACCTTTATATTAGTAAAATTAGAAAAAAACCCCTAACTTTTCAAAATCTTGCCTACATATTTCGGCTTTTTTTGGACCAAAATAACCTTCACGGTAGTCTTTTTACCGTAATACATTTTAAGCTTTATGGTAATTAAAACACCGTAAAAAATTCAAAGAGTATTACGGTAATAGTTTGAATTATTATTACGGTAATTTAATTACCGTAATGTGTGGGGAAGTCTTTACGGTATTCTTATTACAGTAATACTGTCCCAGTCAATTCCAAACGCCTATTGGTTGAAAAGCTTCAAACCGAAGCTAGCATCAGGGCTACCCCTCTCCTCCTGCGCTTTGTGAAGCAGATGAAAAGCTTATTAGGGCTACCCCTCCCCTCCCGCGCTCTGTGAACCAGAGGAAAAGCTGAGATCAAGAGAGAACTCGATCAAAGGGATTGGTAAGGTTGGGAACTTCGAGTAGATGTCTTCAGTTGTGGCTATTGAATTGGGTTTTTTTTTCTCGCTTTTCATGATTTATACAAGTTTTTAACGCATTTATTTTCTATAATAAAAGTGGGGTTTTTTTCTTTTTTTTCTCGGTTCATTGTTTTTTATAAAAGAGTTGTGCATGCATGCAAATTTCCATGAAAACTTACCAAATTTCGTCGAAAAAAAGGAGGAAAGGTTTTTCATGTTCAGTCAATTGGGTGGTCGGAAAAAGTTGCAGATCTTGCCGTGAACTAGGGTTTGTTAATGTTGATCAGGCACCAAGAATTGAGATTTTTGATGAAGGGTTAGAGACTGAGAGAATTGGGTTTCAGAGCGTTAATGGATTCCTTTACAAAGGAGAGAAAGGCAACAAAAAGTGTGGAAAGAGGAAGGAAAGATGTGGGTTTTTACAAAGAAGTGTGGAAAACGCATGGGGAAGGGAGAAGGGGTTGGAGGTTTGATTATGGTAGTCTAGAGAGAGAAAATATTCAAAGGAAAGAGGCTCGGGAGAAGTGGGTTTTTTTTTATCTCTGAGAGAGAGAGAGAGAGAGAGAGAGAGAGAGAGAGAGAGTACAGTAATATGTGGAAGACATTACGGTACTTCCAGTATTGTAATTTTATGTTAATTCATTACGGTAATTAAATTACCGTATAAAATGCCTAATAATTACGATATATAAATTACCGTATGGACCTTTCTATAAATTACGGTATTTAAATTACCGTAATGCTCTTTACGGTAAAAAAACTACCGTGAAGGTCATTTTGGTCCAAAAAAAGCCGAAAATAGTGAAAAAGGGTGTAGGCGAGGTTTTGAAAATTTGGGGTTTTCTTTTCCCATTTTACTAAAATATTGGTATATTTTTGATAATTTCCCTTAAATCTACATTTTAAGGTTTCAACCTTATATAAACGTTTTCTATTTATTAAATTTACAAAACAAAGTTACTCAAATAAAGTTTGAGAGCAAATTAGTAATAACTCATATAATTCAGTCTTCTCGTAAACTATAATATATTAAAGATATTTATTTAATTTTACATGTAAATGGTAATAAAAGATCACATGTCAGTCAAGTCTTATACAAGTCCTGCCCGGGCAAACCATTCCATTGAAAAGAGAAAAAATGCTAAAGTATGAAGGAAGGGAGAGCATGTACTGAAATAAATATAGAGATATACAGAGAACGAGAAATAAAGACTAGAGAGAGCCAAGATAGAGATCATTCTATCTCTTGTACACATTTTTTTAACAAGATGAGGGCTTATAACAATTTATGACAAAAAGTCAGACCTACCATTCCCTACATCATAGTGACTTTGGGAGCATTGAATTTAAAAACTCTCTTTTTCCACACAAATTTGGAAAATGGGACTATTACAATTTCTTGAAAAGAAGTTACGCTAGTTCTTAAGACATGTTACCCAGGATACGATTTTTTTTCGATAACTATGTTACCCACGATACTATTTCATACCTAGATTCAAATTTTATTGGAACTATGTTTTAGAATAATAAGAACATTCTTTGGTGTACCAAAACTACTTTTTTTATTTTTTTTATGGCACAAATACTTGGATCATACTATTCTCCAAAGCACGTTTCTTACAAAATGACTGTTCATCCTGAATTCATGTTCTCTGGCATTTCCATGCGAGAACATTCTTGAGTATACCCTTAGTTGTTGTGGTTTGCTTTTCCTTCCCCTCTTGTCATCATTTATATATTTCATTCATTTTTGAAGTGGAGAATGGATGGCAGTGTAGTGATTTCAAACTTCTAATATATATATATATATATATATATATATATACACACACTATTATACTATTATACAACCGTTGCATGAAATCACTCCCCATATATATATGTGAACAGCTACGTGTTTGTTGTTACTGAGACTTCTGATTTTACTTTGGACTCTGGAATTGCCATTTCTTTATGTAGTTGGAGACCAACTTCCTTTCTGCAAATGGTCTTCCATTATTTTTTTTCACTTGACTAATATTTTGGTTATGGGCAGTGTGCTCACTTTTATTAACTTGGGTTATGGGACAACGATTTGTCGAAACTTCAAAGATAATGCCAGCTGGAATAGTTGCTATACTCAGGTATTTGCACAAATCTGTGGTTTGTTTAGATTCTCGTGAATTCCAAGTTATGTTGCAGCTTTTATGATTTCCTCTTTTATGCTTCTTATGTATCTGGAGAAACAGAAATTGTTTTGTTAGGCTGGTATTTGTCGTACATACCATATACAAGTTCAAATGTTTTGTAATGACTAAAGTGTTCTAGTTCATCCAAGTAATTCAGATAGGAGCACGGCCATTGATGGATCTCTTTTATTCGGTCAAACTGATTAGCAGTTATCAACTGTATTCTTCTCTCTAACCTCTTAAATGACAAACAATGATTGAATTTTGTCAATCCTCAATTACATAAGTGTATCAATTATATTAGAAACATGTTTTTTTGGGGACAAGAAGCCCAAAACCCATTTTGAACTTATTTAGACTCTCCTTTCATCTATTGGACATTAAGTAGGGGGTGTGTTTAACAACTGGAAACTAGAACACTAGGAAGTTATGGGGTTTGGAAGCAGGAAGTTATATCTGTAGAATAGTGTTTCATAACATGATTGGAATTCTAAGGGACTATGGAAACCTGCTTTATATCAAACATGGAAGTTTCCAAACTTAAAAGAGTATTTCAGTTTTGAGAGCATGTTCTGGTTTTTCAATTTTACTTTTTTATATGTATACATCAGATTTGAACCAAATTATCAATATTGCTGATACACTTGCAGCGGTAAAAAGTATATAAAAATAAATAAAAATAATATGATCAAAATACCCCTGAAACGTTAGGGGCATTTGTGTTATTGTAACTTTTTGTGAATTATTTTTTCATATTTTTAGTAGATGCCCCCCAATGAGGCTTACTCACCCTCAAATTTTCATTTCGATTTGAATTTTTTTTTAAAATAGAAATAAAATATGAATATGGGCGAGATTCCCATGAGAAGTGCACTCTTCTCATTCAATGAGCAGCTCGCTCTTCCGTGGGTGATGCCTACTTCTCATATTTGAGAAGTGCACACCTCCAGTGTTTTGCAGTTCCTAGTTATCAAACTAGGAACTACTACTGCACTCTGGAAGTTTCACCTTCTGGAGCTGAAGCTTCCATTTGCCAGACACCTTGAGAATTCTTACGTGTGCAACTTCACTAAAAGATGTTCCTATTAACTCAATTGTTCGAACTTGAAACATTCTCATATAATGATCTAAATTTACTCAGAAAAATGAAAATGGATTCCTTTGCAGTAAAACTTATTGCATCATATTAAACCGTATTTGTGGTACTGACACTTGAGATTCTCAATGGAAATCACTTTGATTTCATTTTTGATTGTTTCTCATGCGAGCTTGGAATCTCTCAAATTAACAAGTATCAAGTTCCCAACTGCTGATCCTTGTAATCTCCAACATGTCTGAGGATCGAGTTGCTAGAAAAAAGTAAATATACACGCTTAGCAAAAAAGAAAAAAGCATTGAGTTCCAATCTCAGTGTAAAACACACACACACACACACACACTCATACTCACTCCCAAAGATGCAGTCACCAATCTTGTCAAATAGTTTTATGTGGTCACCAATCTGGTTGAATGGTTCCTTAAATGTCTGTTTTTGAAATGAACAAATGATAGCAAGGAAACTTTCTCAAACAGTCTTCATAAATAAGTACTTTTTGAATTAGTTTTTTCTTCAGGTGGTTAGAAGGATTTCTTTTTGAAAATTAAATGCTGACTCAAAAATCCTCATGCAGTGCTTTGATGACGGGATTTTATCTTTACAAGATTGTGGTGGGAGGTAACCACATCCCACCAAAGGCTGAATAGTTTCCAGAATCAGAGCTCCCTGTACTTAATGATTCATGGGACAGCTGTATGCTTGTTTCTACTCTTTCTTGTCCTCCTCAACAGAACTGTAGGTTTCTATGTATCTGATATATGATCAGTATGCTTATGTTGTACTGGGTTGTTTCTACTCTTTCTTGTCCGCCTCTTAACAGAATTGTAGGTTTTTATGTATCTGATATATGATCTTACAAGAATCAATGGATATTGAATGACAAATTAGCAGCGAACAGAAAGGGTGCAGAACTATAAAAGGTACGGAAGGTTTAGTCTACATTGCCATCATGGTGGGCGATTGCTTGTTGTGAGGATGCTTTTCCTTTACACAAGAAAATGTGTGTGCGCGTGTGCATGTGTGTGCAAGAGAGAGAGAGATCACTGGATATTGAGTCAGTTCAAATTGTAAGATGGTTAAAAAGGATGCTAAATAACTGGGACAAGTAAAGCACGATGCTCTGTATGGCCATGATCACAATGTGGTATTTAGGGTTATCATTGTCTAACCATAGATGGTATGGTTATAGGGGGGAGTGATGACTCGTACTTGTACTTATGCTTGATGTCACCCATTCTCCCTTTGCGACTCTGCAACTCATTGATTAGATGGTGATAACCCTTATGACCATGCTTTGTGCTGACCATATAGATAGCACTAATAGTTCCCCAAGACTTACCCGAGGACTATGATGACAATTCATGTTTTGGCCATGAACTACCTATTTAGAAAAGACCAAGGTTTAAAAAAAAGGTAGGTGATCCTGATCAGCCCACCGTCCTCCAAAATTACATTGGATTGGTGGATTGGTGATCCGGATCAGAAAATCAGTTGGACCTGGCCTTACGAAATATCAGAAGATCATTTAAGTTTATTAGAAATCTTGCTTTTTATATTTCCAAAAAAAAAAAATGTATTGCATTATGATTTTTTATTATTTTAAAAAATATATGTAAATACCGTGGAGAGAGAGAGAGAGGGGGAGAGAGATTTAAAGATCACTTCAATTTTCATTTTTTTTTGAAGGATGGAAAGTATGCATGTTAATTTTAAAAGAGAACATTACATTATATGGAATATTTTGGAGATGAAAACCAACCAACCAACAGTCAAAAAGTTGGATTTGTAGTTACCACATAATAGAGAGAGAGAGAGAGAGAGAGAGAGAGAGAGAGAGT